GTCTCCAGTACTCATCAATCATGTATGCAACAACGGCGGCAAGAGTCTTAATAGCACAAGGATGGAAGAATGAGGAAATCCTGACTAAAGAACTGTGGCAAGAGAAATTGATGGACTATGCAGAACTGGCGAAATTGACACATCAACTACGTGACAAGGATAACTGTGACTTTAAAGAAGAATGGGAACCTTTTACGAAGTATTGAAAGAAACAACAAAATGAACTGGACTCCTTGGCAGGTTTTGAATAAACTCTCACAAATACTTTATTGGCAACATACAGATAGATAAATTGAGGATCTTTACAATTTTATAACATGCAGAGAATAACATGTGCTGAGAAACCAGAGAGAGGAGCTGAGGGAAGTCTGTGGGTGGGAGGGTGGGTTTTTCTTTTTCAGGGGGGGAGGGAAAAATGGAGGGGGAAATGTGGAGAATGTATTTTTGTTAAATTGTTATTTTGAAATCCCTAATAAAAAATATTTTAGAAAAGAAAATGTTTTGTGGGTCATTGGACCGAAATAAAGAATATTGTTGTTGCATATTCAGTCCGGAGAGTTACCATGGCTGTCAGTGCTTCCTTGGGAGCTGTTGCTCCTTGTAGAACACATCAGGTAGGAGGAGGAGGAGGAGGAGGAGGCCAAAATTAGAATTCATAGAACTTGTTGGAGGTTTTTAAGCAGAAGTTGGGTGGCCATCTGTCTTGGATGCTTCAGCTGAGATTCCTACATTGCACAGGATTGAGGGACGCGGGTGGTGCTGTGGGTAAAAGCCTCAGTGCCTAGGGCTTGCCGATTGAAAGGTTGGCGGTTCAAATCCCCTTGGCGGGGTGCGCTCCCGTTGCTCGGTCCCAGCACCTGCCAACCTAGCAGTTCGAAAGCACCCCCGGGTGCAAGTAGATAAATAGGGACCGCTTTCTAGCGGGAAGGTAAACGGCGTTTCCGTGTGCGGCTTTGGCTCGCCAGAGCAGCGACGTCACGCTGGCCACGTGACCCGGAAGTGTCTTCGGACAGCGCTGGCCCCCGGCCTCTTGAGTGAGATGGGCACACAACCCCAGAGTCTGTCAAGACTGGCCCGTACGGGCAGGGGTACCTTTACCTTTACCTTTAGGATTCCTTCCAACTCTACGATTCTGTCATTCTGCCTGTCATCGGCTCTGGCCATTGATGGTATAGTATAAATAATAGGTTGGGGTGGGGGGATAATCCTGTGACAAGGAATTTAAGGTGCTGCGGATCTCCACTGGTGCTAAGCCCCCAACCCTGGCTCAGCCAACAATATGCCGATGTACGTAACTTGCTCAGCTGGCTGAGCCAAAGCCAGTGTCAATTTCCAAAAAGAAATTGACAGAGATGGGGGGGGGTTAGGTTTGGTCTTAAGCCCATTCAGCTCAGTCATGCCACCTGGCAACACAGTGCAGAGCTGAATGACAGTGGAATGGACTCCCGTAAAAGGTAATGGATTCTCCTTCATTGGAAGTTTCTATACAGAGGTTAGATGGCCATCTGTCAGGGATTTTTTTAGCTGTGACTCCTGCAATGCAGGAAGGGACCAGATGAGCTTTGGAGTCCCTTCCAACTCCACAATCCTATGATTCTATGGAAATGTCAGTAGCATGAGGGCCCACAAAGACTGATTGGTGCCTCAGGCTCCTTACTAAATGGCTATGAGCTGATATACTACCTCAAAAAGGACTACCCAAAAGCCATTTGCAACAAGCCAATTGCTATCGAGGTCCAAACTATGGATGGAATCCCAGCTTCTCAGACAGGACAGATATTTTCCAGGTGAGAATTCCTTTCTGGCTTGGGTTGGGAAGGCGGAGATGATGGCTATAGATTGCATCCAGTGTTAATTCCAATCTGTTGAATTAATGAGCCTGACTAACATAGGTCCATTAATTTCATCAGCTCCTCTCTAAGTAGAACTTAGTTGGATAGAACTGTATAATTTTGTTTTATTTTGCATTTAAGACCAGGGTGGAATCTACACACATTTAAAAAAACGCTGTGAAAATGCTTTTTTAAAAAAATCTAGTGTCACATTTGTATATTGCACTTTACAAAACATTTAAAATGTTTTATTAGCTGTACAGGGGAGTCCCAGGAATGGGATGATGAATGGGATGGCTTAACTCTGAGAGGCACAATGCTCTTTCAGAATTAGAGAATGGTTGTCCCTGAAATCACCTTCACAGGAATTTGAACGGTGTACTCATGCCATCAGTTTCAATGTGTGGCTATTTTGGGAATCTGCCTTATTTCACCTACAAATGATTTTTAAAAATAATAATAATGGAAGGAAATTTGAGAAAGTCACCCTAAACAAATAGTAGCAGCAATTAGAAAAAACAGAATCATAGAATTGTGGAGTTGGAAGGGAAAACCAGTTCAACCCCTGCGATACAGGAATTGCAACTAAAGAATGCCTGACAGATAAAGGTAAAGGGACCCCTGACCATTAGGTCCAGTTGTGGCTGACTCTGAGGTTGCAGCCCTTATCTTGCTTTATTGGCCGAGGGAGCCGGCGTACAGCATATGGACAGCCGCTTCTGGCGAACCAGAGCAGCGTACGGAAACGCCGTTTACCTTCCCACCAGAGCGGTACCTATTTATCTACTTGCACTTTGACATGCTTTCAAACTGCTAGGTTGGCAGGAGCTGGGACCGAGCAATGGGAGCTCACTCCATCGCGGGGATTCAAACTGCCGACCTTCTGATCGGCAAGTCCTAGGCTCTGTGGTTTAACCCACAGTGCTCTGTTTAAAAACTTCCAAGGAGAGTCCACTACCTTCCAAGGGAGTCCATTCCACTATTAAACAGCTCTTGACGTCGGAAAGTTCTTCAGCCCTTGCAAAGGCACAATAAGTTGACAGGCAGTTCCTGCAAACCCAGCTTTGCCACGACTTTTCCTGTCCTGCACCTGCTACCATCTATGGCATCAGGTGTGGGGCAGTTGACTATAGCTTAGCAAAAACAGCCTTGTGGGCCAAACAGGGAGGGTTGCCAGGTCTAGTTAGGCCTGTTGGCTAAAGGTTCCCAACTTCTGATGTAAGCAGGAAAACAATCTGTGCACAATACTGTCCACTGGAGTTCAACCAGCTTTTGCCACCTATACTGGAAATCAGGAACTGGCCACTCTCTCAAATTTGGCTACTATTTTCCCCCCCATACCTGTCCCCCATACTCTGCCTTGTGTCATTGAGCAGGAATGATGCAGTCAATGGGTTCGCTTGCATCAATGCCCAGCAAGGAAAAAGAGGTGTCTGCCACGACTATAAGGTCCGGTTCACCTGCCCAGACTCTTTCTGTTCAGGTGAGTGTCCATATCACATCCAGTTTTTATATGGAGCAGCCAGGGGAAATGGGTTGTGCAAAGGATTCCCCTCTTCCAAGCTAACAGTGAACTACCCAATATCACATGTCATGTGCCCAGTATTCACCATGCCAACTCTCTTCTCCTGTGACTTGGCTGGATGTGTCTGAAATGCTTGTCATCTGAATTTCTCCCCAGATTGGGGAGTTTTTGAACTCTTAGTCTTATTTCTGCAGGGGGAGCCAATGTCTTGAGAAGCCACCATTGTTCTGTTTAGTTTTTAATTTCCAAATTGCACACACACCGTTGGCTGCTGGAGAAGGGGGAGCAATGTGATTCAGTTTGCATTTAAAGGCTAATCCACACTTTCTGAGGCAATATGCGAACTGATACACAGCCATCCTTTGAGATTTGCACTTCTCTGAATTGTGCTTTTTGGTTCTCCAGCCGAGTAATGTGTGCAAAAATGCAGCCACGAAGGAAAAATGTGCATAAAAATGGATATCATAGCGAAAATTATATACAAAAAATGTATGGGAGGAAGTGCTTTGCAAAAATGCATTAGGAAAAAATTGTACTAAAATGTTGGTGAATTTTCATGAGGATTTTTTATGATTATTGCTATCTGATGCGGAAATGCAGAGATCTGAATTTAAGGCTGGGAAAATGAGGAAATGAGAGAAACTGAAATTGGCAGATTCTTTGGCTATTGGATAGCTATTGGACCGGGTCCAGTAGGCTTCCTCGTGCCTCACTGCTCTTCTCCCCGGCTCTCCGTCAGCTACTTGTAGCAGAGTCGACACAGCGGTTGAGAAACTGTTGCAATGTGTGTGTAATAAATCAAGCTGCACGCAAGCATTCTTGCTTATCTCCAAAAGTCTTTAATCATGTAGAAAAACATCATAGATCACCTGGTGAGAGAGCGCACATCTTGCTGCCTCACCGCTAAAACACGGAAGAACAAAGAACACAGAGAAACACTCCCCTCTGTGCACAAAGCCACACCTCAGAATGTGAGACGTCACTCAGAACTTCTTAACCCTGTAAGTTCTGATTCTCTCCACACCCCCTCTCGTCTTGCATTCTGAGGGAAACTGTGAACACACGTTTACAGACCTCTTTGAGTTCAACACCCTTCCCATTGCCTTTCGCCCCTTCCTGGCGTCTTTTCCAGGCAACTGTTGAACCTCCTCAACACTCCCAGATTCGCACTGTGCGAAACCAACCCACGCACTGGTGACCTGAAACCTCTCAGGTGGAACTCCCTTCATTGTGCGAGTAGACCGTCTGAGCACAAACTCAGGTGCTCCTTCTTCTGGCCCACTGGGGCCAGCAAGTGTGTCCTCTACATCAGAAGACTCCCCCTCTGACTTACTGCGTCTGTGAGCCTTCTGCACTTTGCTAACAGGAAATGAAGGCTCACTCTTGGGCTCTCTTTTAACAACCTGTGGAGATGCCCAATCCTGTCCTTGACCCTGGTCATCGACCTGGTCCTCATCAACAGGTTCAGCCTCTGGCTCTCCCTCTTCCTCAGACAGACATTCTGAGAGAACATCAGGATTCGCTTGGATCCTTGACCAACCATCTTGCTCACAGAACTCAGCATGTTTACTGACCAGAAGCTTGGTCTGATCACCTTCTGGATATGCAAACCTCCACCCTTTTGTCGCAGGTTCATATCCACAGAAGATCATTTTCTGGACCCTCGGACCACCTTGTTGCTGTTGAGCCTTTGGCACAGGCACCCAGGCCTGCGTCCCAAACACACGGAAGAAATGCAGCTTCGGTTTCTCTCCGTGGAGCACAAAATACGGGGTTTCACCTACCACTGAATTGTAGGACCTGTTCATCGTGAAACAGACCGTCCTCATCGCCTCGCTCCAAAAACTTTGAGGCAAACCAGAGTCACACAGTAAAACCTCTGTTGCTTGAACCAGAGCTTTACTCCTAAGCTCTGCCACTCCCCTCTCCTGAGGAGAAGTATCTGTTAGGATATTTCCGTTCCACCTTAAAAGGGAGCAGACTATGAGTCACAGAGTCTGCGTATTTCCTGTTACAGGATGTTTATGTTTGCTATTGCTTTCGTTTTCTCTCTGTCTGTGCTTGAACGCTGAAGCAGACGGTCATGTCTTCTGTTTGCTCTGACCAACGTTGAATAAAATGTAAATATGCTCTCCTGCTGTGCATCTTTTGCTGTGTGGATTCTGCTGAAAGAGTGTGCACCAGCCTAGGAATGTGGCAATCTATTTCAAAGGCTTCGTGCCGCTAATTGTTGATACTGCGTGACTGCGGGAGGCCGATGGATCATCCGGCAGCCGGCTTGGGGCCTCAGATGGACGTTATCTCCCTGGCAGTATCCCAACAACAAGGTTTCGGGCCCAGATTCACGGCACTTACAGGAGAGTAAGGCTGCGACAGACTGCTGAGGTATGTGAAAAGCAAAAGAGGAGGCTATTCTGTTGGGCCGAGGCAAAGAGCTTTTGATGTCCGGCAAGGCTTAATTGGCCTGGGAGCCGAGCCAAGAAGGCTTCGTGATTAATGGGGGCCAGGATAAGGAGTCTTTGAAGGCATAAAGACTCAGGCTCGAGTAAAGACCTGAGATGGATCTTTTACAATCCTTAGAAGCAGCTCCGTGTCCACTAAAGCTAAATGGCCACAACTATCAGACCTGGGCAAAATGGTGTGAGAGTTTGCTACGTCAGTTTGGAGTGTGGCATACCGTGTCTGAAGCCCCTCCAGTCCCTCTGACAGAGAAATGGAAGGCCGAGAATTTGAAGGCCATAGACGTAATAGTCTTATCCGTCTCTCTGGAGGAAATAAAAACGCTTGCTGGCAACGTGACGGCACGAAAGATGTGGAATGCTTTGAAAGCTGCCCATCTGCCAATCATCCCAGCTCAGAGTCTGAATGCCCAGAGTTTGACTGCATCGGAGGTCCTGGCTGTTTCCCAGAATGCGAGTGAATGCAGGGATGCTGAGGGCACCGGTTGCAAGCTGCAGGGGGAGCAGACTGTCACGTCATCCCAGGCAGCATTCCAGTCTCCAGGGGGAGCCAAGGAGTCGGCAGCTGAGAGCTCTGTTTCTCGTGGGAACCAAGGTCATCGTCTTTGCAAAGGCCGGAAGGCCAGAGGTAAACAAAGCAAAATGCCTGCAGATGGCCCGAAGCAGAAGGGGGGTGAAGAGCCCACGCCAGTGGAAAACAAGGCTTTGTTAGCTGGCATTGCTTCACCAAAGGCTAAAGGCAAGTCTCATGGCCAGGAGCAGGGGGGCAAGCTGCAAAAGCCCGCGCTGGTGGAAAACAAGGTTTTGCTTGCTGCAAAGACTGCTCCAAAGGCTAAAGCCAGGTTTATTGTGGACTCTGGTGCGAGCCGCCATTTATCAAAGGATAAGCACCTGTTTATCTCCTTCACACCTCAAGAAGGAGAGATCCACCTGGCTGATGGAAGGACGTTGCAAATTGCAGGAGAAGGGACTGTTAAACTTGCAAGTTTGCATACAACCATCAGTAATGTACTGTATGTTCCAGGAGCTGCGGACAATTTGCTGAGTGTCCCACAGCTGACTGGGCGTGGTTTTGAGATATCCTTCAAGAGGAGCGTCTGTGTCATCAGGAAAGGCAAAGAGGACATTTTGCATGCAAAGTTTATAGATGGTTTATTCTGTATAACTTATGATGACAATGCTGTTGCTGTGTCTAATGCTGATTCTTGTTGTGTTGCACAAACTAACAAGGTTCTTCATGCAGGATGCATTCACAATGCACATCGAAGATGTTGTCACATGTCTTGGCAGGCGCTGGCCAAGATGCCTGGATTGGTTGAAGGTTTGAACATCAAACCTTGCAAATTTCACATGAAATGTGTATCTTGTGCAGAGAACAAGGTGAAGGTTGCTCCAAAAGGCAAGGAGTCTAGCAGGCAGGCTTCCAAACCCTACCAGCTAGTTCATGCAGACCTGGTTGGTCCTCTTGCACCCTCTTTGGGTGGAGCAAGGTATTTCATGGTTCTAATTGATTCTTTTTCCAGGTACATTCATGTGTTTATGCTCGAGCAGAAATCGCAAGCGTTTCCTAGGTTCAAGGCATTCTGTGCTTGGTTGGAGAATACTCACGGTAAACGTATCGGCTGTCTGTTTACCGATCGGGGCAGGGAGTTCACTTCTCAGCAGTTTGAAGCTTTCCTGACTGAGAAGGGAATCCAGCATGACTTGACAACGCCTAGATCGCCATGGATGAATGGGCTTGCAGAGCGAGCAAATCAAACGTTGCTGCAAGGAATGAAAACCTTGTTGCATGATGCCAACCTCCCTGATAAGTTTTGGGGGGAAGCTTTGTCGACGGTAGTTTATACCGTTAATCGCAGACTGTCATCACCTATTGGTTGTACTCCGTACGAGAAGATGTTTGGTAAGAAACCGAACATCAAGCACCTGAGAATCTTCGGTTCTGACATGTGGGTACACTCCCCACAGAGCAACAAGCTTGGGAAGCGTGGGGCACATGGTTTGTTCATGGGGTACGAAAAAGGTGCATACAGGGTATGGATGACTGACTCTAAATCCATAAAGTTCACAAGGAGTGTTGAGTACAATCCTAAGTGGGGGGAAAATGTGGGAATTTTCCAGAGTTACCCAGAGGAGGATGAAGGTGATGTGAAGAAAGCAGATCATGCTGAGAAAACTGAGGATGATGATGATGATGATCAGAGTTCGGATTCCAGTTCAGTGGGCGGCGCTGCTGCTGGTGTCAGTGACAGTGATGACACAGCAGACTACAAGAGCGCAAAGGCCTCAGTCAGACCATCTGATGCGTCTGACAATGAACTGGAAGAACCACTGTTCACCATTGGTCATTTTTCTCCTAAGAAAGAGGAGATGAGTCCAGAAGACTTGCGTCTGGTTCGCAGGTCTGAAAGGACAACCAAAGGCAGACCTCCAAAGAGATTTGCTGATGAGTTTGCTAAGACAGCAACTGCTGTTCTTAGTAGCTCAGAGAAGGTGTGGGAACCTTCAAGCTTCAAAGAGGTTCAGGAGTTAACCTCTAAAGATGCTGAGCCTTGGCTTAATGCCATGAAGGCTGAAGTTGATTCCTTGAACAGGAACCAAACTTGGGAACTGGTACCGGTAGTCCCAGGTATGAGACTGGTTGGCAGCAAATGGGTCTTCAAGGCCAAGACAGACCAGAATGGCAAGGTTGTCAGACACAAAGCCAGATTGGTTGCCAGAGGTTTTTCACAGGTACCAGGACAGGATTACCACGAGACCTACTCTCCCACCGTCAAATATGAGAGCATTCGGCTGATGCTCAAGATCGCTGCGGAGGAGAAACTGCATGTTTCCCATCATGACATTAATACAGCTTTTTTGTACGGGATTTTGAACGAGGAGCTGTTTATGCTTCCACCTGACGGGATGCAGATACAGAAGGGAATGGTCTGTAAACTGCGGAAATCCTTATATGGTCTCAAGCAGAGTGCTAGGTGTTGGAACACAAAACTCACTGAAACGTTGCTTTCTCTAGGTTTTCACCAGGGCAAAGCTGATCCATGTGTGTTTGTCAAGGAGGAGGGGCAAAACAAACTGTATTGTTTATGTTTTGTTGATGATCTTCTGATGTTTTGGAAGAATCAGGCTTTCTATCAAAGCACCCTAGCTCAACTGAAGGAGCACTTTGACATGAAGGATCTTGGTGAGGTATCCAACTATCTTTCTCTGCAGGTGGAGAGGGACCAAGCAGGTAATTTTCTGGTACACCAAACACAGAAAATTGCTGATGTATTAACCAGGTTGAATTTGGTTGATGCAAACCCAGCAGACACACCCATGGTGACAGGTTACCAGGTAGATAGTACTGCTGAAGCGTTTTCTGACACTACGCTGTACAGATGCATTCTAGGCAAGTTGAATTTCATTGCTAGATGCTCAAGACCTGACATTGCTGTAAGCACTAACCTGCTTAGCAGACACGCTAACAATCCTACTGTTCAGGATTGGAAAGCTCTGAAGCGCATAGTCCCTATTTGAAAGGGACTATGCACTACAGGCTGAGGTTCACCAGTCAGAAGACTGGAGGTCTTGAAATCTTTGCAGATGCAAGTTTTGGAAGTGACACCACGGATGGTACAAGCACTTCTGGAGTATGCTACATGTACAACCACTGCCTGTTTGACTGGTTGTGCAGGAAGCAGATGACAGTGAGCCTAAGTTCCTGTGAAGCAGAACTCAATGCTCTGTCATTTTCACTCATGGATTGTGAATGGTTGATGCAACTGTTTAAGGACATCGGGGTTTCTGTGAAATGTCCTATACAAGTGTACCAAGACAATAGATCTTGTTTGGCTTTGCTGAACTCGGAGAGTTGCAAGCAGAGAACCAAGTACTTGCAGATTAAGCTACATCGTGCAAGAGAGTGTATTCAAAAAGGACTGATTCGGGTGTCCTACATGGCAGGAAATGAATTTCCTGCTGATCTGTTGTCTAAGGTTGTTAACAGAGAACAGCTTAAGATTTACGTACAGAGGTTGCAATTGGGTTGAACCACAGGTACTACAGGTTACACGGAAAGGGGGAGGATGTTAGGATATTTCCGTTCCACCTTAAAAGGGAGCAGACTATGAGTCACAGAGTCTGCGTATTTCCTGTTACAGGATGTTTATGTTTGCTATTGCTTTCGTTTTCTCTCTGTCTGTGCTTGAACGCTGAAGCAGACGGTCATGTCTTCTGTTTGCTCTGACCAACGTTGAATAAAATGTAAATATGCTCTCCTGCTGTGCATCTTTTGCTGTGTGGATTCTGCTGAAAGAGTGTGCACCAGCCTAGGAATGTGGCAATCTATTTCAAAGGCTTCGTGCCGCTAATTGTTGATACTGCGTGACTGCGGGAGGCCGATGGATCGTCCGGCAGCCGGCTTGGGGCCTCAGATGGACGTTATCTCCCTGGCAGTATCCCAACAGTATCACCCGTCACCTTGTGACGTATCCCTTTCTGGCGAAAGAAACTCTTCAGAGCAGATCCAGTAACCTTTGCACCTCGGTCACTCTGAAACCCCTTCACCTTGGTGGAGAACCGTAGTTCCACCTCCGCAACCCAATCTTTGATCAGTTGCGTTGCCTCTTCTTTCGTTTTCAGCGAGTAACACCAGCTAACTCGGCTAAAATCATCTTGCAGTGTCAGCACAAACCTGGCCCCGCCCAGGCTCGGCTTTGGCATGGGCCCAAAAAGGTCTGTGTGCACAAGCTCAAAAGGTTTTGTGGTTACCCTCTCCACCCTGGGATAACTGCACCCTTTTACCTTTGCTTTTCTGCATGCCCTACAATTTAGGGATCTGCCACATTCCTTTATTTTGCAACCTTTAGTGCACTCCGGCAACATCTGGATATCTTCCCAAGAACCATGTGACATTTTCTTGTGCCACACGCAAGCACATGAAACATGTGTGGGAACGGTTGCACACTTTGCCTGTGCTTTTCACCCTCACCCTCCAGAGGTGTCTCCAGAACAAAGAGGTTGTTCTGCCCTTTTGCAACGCTGACCAGTTGCTTCCCCCCTCTGGAAATAGAACAGGTATTGTTTTCAAAGCAAACCTTGTACCCCTCCTGTAAGAGACAAGTTACAGATAAAAGACAATGTTTCATCTCTGGAACAACGTAGACTTCCAGCTCCGCCTGCAAGACAGAAACATAAACATTTCCCACGTTAGACAAAGGCTTTTTTGACCCATCAGCAAAACAAACTGTTTTCCCAGCTGAAACAGCTCTGCAGTTCCACATCTCGACACTAGGTGGCGCTGTTACCAGGTGATTGCTGGCTCCTGAGTCAATCACCCAGCGCATCACTCTGTCCTCACTGGAGTTGTCCTTTATTGTTTCCATAGCAACAAACTTCTCGCTGCCCCCGTCCTTGGGGCCTCTGCAGATGTCCTTCTGAGACTCCGTGTCACATCCTCCCTGCGCTTTCCCACGCTTGCCTCCTCTCCTGGACTGGCTGCCATGGAAACCTGGCTGACTGCCATGGGAAGCGACTTTGGAAGCATCCTGCCCAGCCTCCCTGGCTCTCTGCGGGCAGGAACGACGCAGATGGTCAACAGACTTGCAGATAAAACACCGACGAGTGGAAAAACACTGAAGTGAGCTTCCAGCTGGCTTGGCTCCCGGGCTCTCTCTGCCAGCTCCGCCCCCTCTGAAACGGCGTTCCTCCTCGTCACACACAGTGGAAAACTTTCCAAACTTGCTTTTGGGCTGCTCTGCCCCCCCCCCAACTCTGCCAGCAGCTCTCCTTGAGGCTGTGACTTCAGGGCTTTCAGGGCTTTTGGCTTCCTCCCGGCTCTGGCCTTCTGCTGAGCTTTCACACAAACTCTTCAGCACTTCCCAGGCAGCATGAGCCGATTCAACGCCCTCCAAATGTGGCAACAGCTTAGCGTGTACGCTTGCCTTCAACATGCATAACTCCTCTTTCTCTCTCTGCTTTCTATCTTCCAGAAAAGCAGACGCCAGCTCTGCATCTCCAGCAGCAACTGGTGTGGTTAGTGACGGCTCTTTCTGGGCTATTTCCCAAAGCCCTGTGGCCAAAAAACACCCTCTCACTTTTCTAACCCAGGTATGCCAGGACTGGGTAGTGAGCTTTTCAAACGGTACATCATACGTCTCCTGGCCGTCTGCCATCTTCTCCCCCGGGGCCCAGCGTACTCACGTCACAGTAGCTCTCCTCTGGCACCCGGTTCAGCAGACCAGTTCCTCCCAGCGAGCTCCTCTGCCTTCAAACACTAGGCAGGACTCCAGCTGGCTCCAGCGTCTCTTCAGCTGGCTTCAACACACACCGGCACGTCTTGGCAACAGCTTCAAACGTTTGCTGACATCCCATAACCTTTGGCTATTGGATAGCTATTGGACCGGGTCCAGTAGGCTTCCTCGCGCCTCACTGCTCTTCTCCCCGGCTCTCCGTCAGCTACTTGTAGCAGAGTCGACACAGCGGTTGAGAAACTGTTGCAATGTGTGTGTAATAAATCAAGCTGCACGCAAGTGTTCTTGCTTATCTCCAAAAGTCTTTAATCGTGTAGAAAAACATCATAGATCACCCGGTGAGAGAGCGCACATCTTGCTGCCTCACCGCTGAAACACGGAAGAACAAAGAACACAGAGAAACACTCCCCTCTGTGCACAAAGCCACGCCTCAGAATGTGAGACGTCACTCAGAACTTCTTAACCCTGTAAGTTCTGATTCTCTCCACATATTCATCTATCTCTGTTTGCTGCATCTTCCCATTCTTTCAGATCTCTCTTCCAACACTACTGACACACATAGTTTAAACATTGCCAAAAAGGGGGGGGTGCAATTGTATGCATGATTGCAAAAGGATTCATGTGTGGTGTTTTACCAATGCTTTGTGCCTGTGTGTATGCTGAGAAAAATGGCAAAAAAGCATAGTTGATCTAATTGTGCATACAGTTGGTGTCGTCCTCATTCTTTGCTTTATCAAGGTGCTGATGTACCAGTAAAACACTGCACAAAATTAATCCTGAAGCAATTGTACATACAACCACAGCAGAGTTCCTTTGTTTCAGTGTTTTATCTATGCAGATAAGTCAATAAATGAAAAGATTTTCAGACCATTATGCTTGTTTAATGAATTACCAATACACAGGGACGTTGAGCTTTAGACATATGGGGAGGAAGGAACTGAATCAGTCCAGATTTTCATGCTGGATTTCTGTTTCCTCTCCTTAAGGAAATGACCAGAAAGGTGTAAAGGAGGAATCCCCATGAGCAGTCAGCTGCAGTCTTCAGCTTCTACCCATCTCTGGAAGAAGGTGGCGTCTTCTCATTCATCCTTGCTGCCGGCCTATAGCTCATACTTAATGCAATAAAGTCTCAAACGCAACCCCCAACCTTGATGGTGGTGTCTAATTCTCTTCACAATTACTTTGCAACTGCTCAAAAGGCTGCAAATTTAACAGTTTATAGAAACAGCAGTGATGGAGCTGATATCATGTCATGTGAAAACAATGGAAAGGGTCACAGTTCAATGGCAGAGCATCTGTTCTATATGCAGAATGTCTCTGGTTCAATCCCTGGCATATCCAGGTAGGGCTGGTAAAGATTCCTACCTAAAGCCCAGGAGAACTGCTGCCAGTCTAAGATAAATGGGCACATGACCTGGCTTGGTATAAGGCAGCTTCCTATTTAAATCAGCCCTTTATTTAGAACCATTAGGTCTAGCATCTTACTTCATATTTGGAAGACGGACCAGAACTCATTGGTAGAAGACATGTTTTGCATGCAGAAGGTCCCAGGGACACCAGAGAGGACCTGTAGCTGAAACCTTATTTGGAGTTGTTTGCAAATATTTTTGAAACAAATGAATATAGCTTGTTAAAAATAAGAAGAATTAACGAAGTATCTGTACTAGTAGTTGGTTTTTTCTGGTGGTAGGCAACACACTTGAAGCATTCAGCTTAAAGGAAGGTTGTGGACTAATACAACCTTCCCTAACCTAGAGCTCTCTAGGTGTTCTCAGACTCTCTAACTCTCATTATCCCTGACCATTAGCCATGCTGGCTGTGGTTGACAGAAGTCCAATGATATTTGGAGGGCTGCAAGATCCCCATCCCTGATTTAACAGATCAGGTTGGGGAAGGTTGGACTGACATCAGTTGAACGTGGTACGTGACCCCTCTTAAAATGCCCAGCAATATATGGAAGGCTGAAAGTTCACCACCCATTCTGCAATGGGACAGAGGTTTTTTGGTGGTTTGGAACCCAATGAACACACAAATGGGGTGTAGGCTAAAGATGTTATTGCACAGCCCAAAGAAAACCACAAAGCACTGCAATTAGTTTACATCCCTCAGATTGCTGTGAACCCTATCAGCAATGGTCATGAGTCCTGAAGGTGGAGCTTGGCTGGTACACAGCACTCTCGGCGGATAGCATTTCATAGACATTCCACCAGAAGAGGTGTTCTCGGGGCTTGTACACTTTTGTGTATAACATAGTTTCTGGGATAACACATCAGCTACCCACCAAACTGGAAGACACCTGGGCAGGCAGCCAAAACAGAAGTTCAGCAGAAGCCTATCTTAAATATTAAGATTCCCGCATGGTGACATAAAATCTGTGAGAAACCACTATTTTATGGAACAACAGGATAGGAACAGAAGTAACCCTCAAAGCCTTTCTAGACATGAAAGGAACATTGCTGCGCACCTCAAAACAGCAATGATTTCCTGCAACATCCCAATATACCGTCCCTGACTTAATGGATCGAGTTGGGAAAGGCTGAACTAATTTCATTCTCATGTGGGGAGTGGCGAACCTCCTGCAATCACTCTTAAAATGTTTACATTAGTTATTCTGGCTCTGGGTAAAAACAGTCTTTATGGGCTGAGGGAGGGAAGCATTTAGGGTGACAGTAGGAGGTACCTGTCAGGAGCTCGTCCTACACTCGAGTAGGACCCTGGCAGAGACACATGCCAAACTTCTAATAGTACCTCAGAGCCAGATGGACGGATTGACAAGGTGGAGGCCGGGCTATCAGGAAACTAGTGGTCTGGAAATGTAACAACCAGCTGCTCAGATCTGGAGAAGGCAGAAGCTTTTTCCCCATCAGGGTGTTCGCTCAACGCTAGTGGACTCCCATGCCCAACAACTCTTCCTTCCAGAATTATTCTTCCCCTGTTTGCCCACCTTTCGTTTACCTGCACTCCCTTTTACTTAAAACCAGAGATGACCCTTGGCTGTTGGCTTCCTCCTCTTCCCAGGTCTAACATTTGCCTTTGTAGAACTCAGCAGGGAAGAGGCTGGAGAAAAATCTAGAATTAGTTGCCTCTGTCTATCATCGGCTCTGGCGCCACCTGCTGTTGGCTCCCTGCCTTCCACCCTAGAGGTTCCAATGGGCACAAACCACCATGGCCCTAGACCCAGTGTCTACTTGGAGGCTGGATTGCCCACCAGCCAATAGAACATACATGCTCTCTCTCCCTCTCTGCACCCAATGGACAACATGCACAGTTGATGTCACAATAGCTGCACTTCAGAGTGTCCCTGGCAGGCCTTCATCAACAACAGGCACTCACCTTGAGCAAGAGGCCCCAGAGATGGCATGGGGCCGCAACAGTGACTTGAAGAGCAGGCCCTCTTGAGGAGGTGAGGTGAGAGGGGCATATGCAGGTGGGCAGCATCTTCTGCCATTGATGGTGATGTCCTTTGTGTGAAAACTTCACAAGTTCCTTAACACTGTGGTCACTCTTCCCTGGGGTAGAATCAGTTACCCAGAGCTTCACAAACACACACTCCTCCCTTCATGCAAGCCATTCATGTTACCACAACTGAATGAAATGTTGCGGCCAAGCAGATAACCTGAAGAAGAGGGGCCCGTGAGGCACAGGAAGCCTTGGCTGGAATCCAGATTGAAAATGAATCCAGAAATCACTTTCAGTCAATAGTGCCTGCTTGCTGCTCTAGCACCATTTGCAGCAAGTCTCATTTTTGCTCAAAAAACTTGGGGAAATGTTCCCCATGTTATAAGCTAATTTCATCCTGAACTCTCTTTAATGCTGGCCATCAGGGATAGAGGAAATTCTTGTTCTGTACACATTTGAGGCAAACTGGCTAAATTTGTCATTCTGAGGCAAGTACATGGAACTAAACACAGCTGTCATTCAAACTGCTGTTCAGTTAAAAAGAAAATCCATTGAAACCTGTATTTTTTTTATAAGGAGATGTGTTACCCCCCCAAAAACAGAATCCCACATTTTTAGGGGTATTGCATATGAAAATATGCATTGTAGTGGGAAAATTAACAGCTGTGCATTTTAGGGAGGAAATGTGTATTAAAAATTGTAATACATAGAATTTAAACATTATTTTGAAATATATATTTTTAAGAAGAAGATCTTCACAGAATGAGATTAAGTGCACTTATTTTTGAAATCATGCAGAAATGCCATGGAATGGAAAGGGACTGAACTATCCATCCCTATTTGTCACTACAGAACAGACTATCTGGGAAGTGGCAGAGTCCCCTTCATTGGAAGTTTTTAAGCAGAAGTTGAATGGCCACCTGTCAGGAATTCTTCTGTTGTGATTCCTGCATTGCAAGAAGTTGGAGTAGATGACCTTTGGGGTCCCTTACAACTCTACAATTCTAAGATTCTGTACAACTGTATAACTGATATCTCTCTCTCTCTCTCATGACAGCTTCCCCTTCCCCTTCTTCTCTCATCTACTTCCTTCATCCTGCTCATCATGAGTTCCAGTCATAAAAGGGAGCAGCCAGAAACCTTCAAACCAAGACCTCTCGGCTTAACCCAAGGTAACCCCCCAAGACCTCTTATGCCAAAGAACTAGGGCCATCTTATCAAATGACCAGCTGTTGTCTCCCTGACCTCCTCCCCTCTCCCTGACTCCAGGTCTAGCAGAGATGTATGAGGAAGAGCTGCTCTATGATGCCACCCTCATAGCTGATGGACAAAGATTCCCTTGCCACAGGTAGGTCTTGATTTTTCTGAGCAACATGAAGGCTGCCCAGAACTCATTGTTTGAATGTAAAGGTTGCACAAAGAGCATCTCAGGTTCATCTGCCTTTAAAAAGAAAAAAAAGGGGGGGAATCAAGTAGGTGAGGGCAGGGAACATTTTTTCAACCTTAAGGTCATATTCCATTCTCAGCAATGTCAAGGGGTTGGAGTCAGGAGTAGGTCAGTAATAAGTCACACGGTGTCAGGAAGTTAACTCTTGATTCAAAGAAACCAAGCAGTTCAAGCCTAGTGAACACAACTTTACCCGGTAGCTATTACCTCAAGGAAAATCACTTGCCAGGACTGAAGGTCCCCACTGTCCCACAGCTCTCTAAGTCTCCTCCTCCACTGGTTCCTTCTCAAGCAATTTGAGGTCTTGCATGTCTTTGTTCCACCCTCTTCATATCCCTTTGGGTTCTGAGAGACCGGGGGGGGGGGAAGAGATGGTCACAGCAAGAGGGAGAGACAGCCTGGCTTCATCCCCAGCCTGACTCATCTCTGCCTCTTGGCCCCTTCTCCTCTTCAGCCTCCAATTCTGCCTCTGCTTCTGGACTGCTGTCTTGCACAGTCTCCTCCCACTCACTAAACCGTTCCCTCTTCAGCTTCCAACACCTCCTCCTCTCATTCTGCTCCCTCTTCTCCCTCTGACCACTCATCATCATCCCAACACCACTCCCCGGGGTCTGAGCCTTCTTCCCTTGAGGTTCCCCAGTTGGTGCCTCCTACCAGTCCTCTGCATCCAGCCAGTCCATGGCAAGCAACCTTCCAAGGGTTTGAACTTGGCCTCCAGCAATTGCAGTTCTCTCTTTCCTTCCCTGCAGAGCGCTGCTAGCAGCTATTAGCCCCTACTTTCGGGACATTTTCATCAATACCTGGAAAGAATCTGGTGGGAAAGAAGTTCTGCTTCAGGAGGTGTCTCCATTCATCGTCGAAAACATTCTGAAATATATCTACACAGAGGACATAACACTCACCCCTGAGCTGGCACCGCAGCTCTTTGCTGGGGCCAACCGCTTACAGATCATACCGCTGCAGAACCTCTGCTGTAAGTAAGTCACTGCATCTTTCTTCTCACACCATGACTGTGCATGCAGTTCCACAATTTGACAGGTGCAATGTACATCACACCATGAGCATGCAAATTCCAACTTGGGTGGCTTTAAAAGAGGTAAATTTGTGGAGGATCAGGCTATCAGTGCCACTAATCCTGATGGTTATGTTCTACTTCCACTATTGGAAGCAGCATACTTCTGCATGCCAGTGTGCTCTTCCCTTCAAGTCCTGCTTATCTGCTGCCCATGGACATCTGGTTGCCCACTGTGAAAACAGGAGGGTGGCCTAGAGGGACCATTGGTCTGATCCAGCAGGACTCTTCTTATGCTTGTAGTGCATAATATCTTATCAGGATTCTTTTAGCCCAGGAATGGAGAACCTGTAGTGCTACTGGACCACCAGACCCCATCATTCCCATCAATGGTCAAGGATGATGGGAACTGGAGTTCAGCATCATTTGAAGCAAGGTCCTTCAACCTTGGAGCTTCAGAACTACAGCTCCCAACATCCCTACCATTGACTATCCTGGCTGGGGATGATGGAAGTTGTAGTTCAAAAAACATTTAGGGACTCAAGGCTGAAAAATAAAGTAAGGTCACAAGTTAGTCACACCTGCTTTAGCTAAATTTGGAATGAGGAGTGAGGGATAATGAAGAACTGCTGCAAAGAGACAGCTTCAAAATCTGTTGTTGCTGTCTCATGGAACATTGAATATGGACACAAATGGAGAATCTAAAAATGTCTACAAAATTCTGGTGTTTTTTATGATTATAAGAGTTATATCCATAGAGAAATCCAAAGGAGTCTCCAACCAGTTTTTGCTGCAATTTAGAGAGTCTTTGTCAAGGCCCTTGGACTATGAATACAACTATGGGATTGCTTCATTCAACACAGCCTCCCAGTATTTGTTACATGGCCAAAGGATCTTCAGGACTAATGTAAAATCATGAAACAGCGGGTTGCCATATTAGCATGCACTTTCCCATAAGCAAATTCCTGCTGGATCATCCAGTCCACCCGGATCTCAGAGTGGCCATCCACATGTCTAGATAGGAAACTCACAAGCAGGACGTGGGTTCAAGAGCATTCTTCCCAGTTGTGATTCCCAGAAGCTGGAATTCAGAGGCATACTGGCTCCAACAGGGGAGGTAGAACAACAGAACCATCATGGAGGGTAGCCATTGGTAGCCTTATGAATTTGTCTAATCCTCTTTCAAAGCCTTCCAATTGGGTGGCCATTTGGCGGTCCTGAGGCTAACCACCAGGTTTCATGGTGGGAGTCATGCTGGTTCCTCTGCTCCAGAGGCCTTCCTGTTCCTTCTTTCGCCTTCCAGGTTCCTCGGGAAAAATCTGTGTGTGCAGAACTGCTTTGAGATGTATTCTTTGGCGAGGACGCATAAGAGTCCTGCCCTCCTCCATGCAGTCATACGCTTCCTCACCAGAAAATTCAGCCAGGTCTGCGAGCATGAGAGTTTCCGCCAGCTGGACCTCAGCACACTCATTACCCTGATATCCTCCAGCAACCTTGAAGTGGCTTCAGAGATCAAGGTCTATCAGGCAGTGCGACTCTGGGTGCAAGGGCAATCCAGCAAGCATGGTCCTCTGCTAGGAGACCTGATGCGCCATGTCCGCTTCCCGCTCTTCAGTCCGGAGGAGCAAGTCGAACTACAGAGGGACTTGGAGAAGTGGAAGGACCTCAGGCTCGAGTGGAAGGTGCTGGATGGCGAGGAGAGGTTTCGTCACATCAAGGGACTCCGACAGGGCATGTACAAGCCGCACATCCTGTGCATCGACACCCAGATGTGCGAGTACCAGGAGCTGGAGAGTGAAGAGGCCCACATGGGCTGCTATGACCCACAGACTGAACTATGGGAGAAGCTTCCCGGCTTGCAGTCCTTGACGCATGCGTGTTGCGCCACAGCTGGTGAGAAGATCTACGTCTCTGGAGGCATCTGTAAGAACTCTTACTCCACCGCCGTCTATGAGTTCAGCTCTTTCAGAAACCAGTGGCTGCAGCTCGCACCCATGACTGTGCCCAGGGCTGCACATGGATTCCTGTTCCACAACCAGAAGCTCTACGCCATGGGGGGATGGTGTCAGTTCCAAAGCTTCCTCAACTTCGCTGAGGCTTTTGATCTTGCGACAGGGACGTGGGCTACGATCGCAAAGCTCCCATTTGCCCTGAGCCACCCGGCCTCAAGCGTCTTCCAGAACAAGCTGTACCTCCTTGGCGGCGCGACGGGAGTTTCTGGCCAGTGGCTGTTCCACAAAGGCTTCCTGATCTACGAGACCAGCTCCAACACATGGACTCAGGTGCCTCTGTCCACGGGTTTCTTTGCTGCAGGAGCTGTGGCTGGGGACAGGGGGATCTATGTAATCGGGGGGTACATCGAGAAGAAAATGCGGGGCTGGGTTGAAGGGCTCCTCATCCCCGAGAACCGCCACAGCTCTCGCAAGTGCTTCTTAGTCAACGAGACTGGCAAAATTAGTGGTGACATTGGTATGCCCAAACTGCCGCGTGGGGTTGCCAACGCAGGGGTAGTCTCCTGCGGGAAGCGGATCTACGTGTTGGGTGGGGAAGACTTAACCCAGTGCTACAAGATGATTTACTACTGGGAGCCTGGAGAACCCCGCTGGCACCGGTGCACAACAGAGATCCCTACCACCCGTGAGGGCATCAGCAGTTTTGGATGTGTGACCATGATGAGGCCCATCCCACATATCCGCCAGCTCTTCCAGGTCACCGCCCTTGTCATTGTGTCTGCGGCCAACAAATAGCCACCCCCCTGGTGATCCTGAATGAACTTTCAAGTTAGCAGAAACCGTACAGACACATGCAAATAAATCATAGCAAAATTATGGATAGTCACTGTAATGGGTTTAGGGATTGCTCGTGCGTAAGTTGCTGCCACTCCTGGCTAGGTTACCTGGTTAACCCTTTCTGACTGAACAGCCTCCAGCATCGTGACTCTCAGTCGCTGGCAAAATCCGTCAGTGGGCGTTTCTTGAACCTTTTCCAGCATAAAAGCTGTTTGACGCCAAGTCTCCTCCTACTCTCCCTGCGTGGAAGTCTTCTGTGCAGGGAGGGTGTGGGCAGCGGAGTACCCGTACTCTCTCCGCTGGTCTCCGGCGAGGAGTCCTGGAGCCTCCTCTCTGATTCCCCCATCTGCCCCCCTTCTCCACTGGTGTTATGCTGATTTCCTTCCCCAGCAGATGGGCTGCCTCTCTTCCTGCTCGGACCCTCTCCAGCATCACTCTGAAGCCTTCCCTCCGCCTCTAGCTCCGATGGCAGTTCCCTGACATCCACCTCCCCCCCAGGACCCCCTCCACCCCCGGCCCGACCTTCTGGTCCAACCTCATCCCTTTCCTCGGCCGACGATGCAGGGAAACCCCTGAAGGAGCTGTCGCCATCCTCTGAGGATTCAAAACCCGCTTCCCACCCGCTTCAAACTCTTGCCGCGGGGTGGGCCTCCCAGTCTGATTCTTCTCCCTCTGACATTTCCCCTCCTTCCTCTTCAGAGGCAGGAAAACCCACAAATTCCTCCTCCTCGTCTGTGGTACCAAATTCTTCCTCCCAGAATCTCACTAGTGGTTTTGGTTTGTCTGGGAACAGGCTGTGGAATTCTTCCACTAGATACCCATCATTGACTGCTTCTGCGGGGACCCATGTGTTTTCTGACTCGGGTTCTCCTTCCCAAGCCACTAAGTACTCCTCCTGGCACCCTCGCCACCTTGAATCGAGTACTTCCGTGGCTTGGTTGTGGAGTTCCCTCTCCTCTACCCGCGGGTGGGCGGTGACTCCTCCCTCCCGCCCCGGGAATTCCCGCCCCTCCCTGTACGGAGAGAGTAGGGACCTATGGAACACCGGATGTATCTTCATGCTGTCAGGCAACTTGAGCTTGAATGCCACAGCGTTCACCTGCTGTGTTACCTCAAAGAGTCCCAGCCGCCTTGGCTGCAACTTCTTGCACCCTCCCTTTAGGGGCAACCCTTGGGTTGACAACCACACTCGGTCTCCCACCCGTATGGCATCCCCCTCCCAATGGTGCTTGTCTGCCTGCCTCTTATAAACTTCCTTGGCCCGCTCCAAGTTCATCTTGAGTTGCTGGTGCAATGCCTCCATTTCTTCCACAAACTGCTCTGCTGCAAGTACACTCCACCCTTCCTCCCCCCTCCCCGGGAAGGCCCTGGGGTGACACCCATAATTGGCCATGAACGGGCTCATGCCTGTGAACACATGTTCATCATTATTGTACGCAAATTCAGCCAGCGCTAGTTTCTCTACCCAATCGTTCTGTCTCTCGCTGACGTAGCAGCGTAGGTATTGCTGGAGTATACTGTTCGCTCTTTCTGCTTGCCCGTTGGTTTCTGGGTGTCGAGCCGTCGAGAAGCCCACCTCAACCTGCAGCAAGCTCATGAGCTTCCTCCAGAACCGGGAAGTAAATTGTTTTCCGCGATCTGAGATGACCCTCGAGGGCGCCCCATGCAACCTGAAGATGTGATCCACAAACAACTTGGCTGTCTCCTCTGCTGTCACCGCATGTGAGCAAGCTATGAAATGGCACATCTTCGTCAGTAGATCGACTACTACCATGACTGCTGTCTTTCCCCTGGACCTGGGCAAATCTGTCATAAAATCAATGGACACCACCTCCCAGGGTCTTCCCGGCGTGGGTAAGGGTTCCAGTAACCCTGCGGGGGCAGCCCTCTCCCCCTTTGCCCTTTGGCAGCAGTCGCACCCCCATACATATTCCTGTACATCCTCCCTCACCCTTGGCCACCAGAACTGCCTGGTGACGAGCAGCATGGTTTTGTGCTGTCCAAATTGCCCAGCTGTGGGGATGTCATGGAGTTGTTTGAGTACCTTCCCCCTCAGGGTCTCCCCCAGTACATACAGCGCCCCCTTATAGTACAGCACCCCTTCATTTTTCTCAAACCCCCCCATGGTTTTCTCTTCCGTCTCGGAGTTCCCGGATTTTAGTTTGAGCGAACACGCCGTTTCTAGTAAGCCCGGCCAGTTCTCGTTTCCCAACCAAGGCTCCCACACACACCCATCGGTCCTCGGGGATCACGTGTTGTATCTCTAGCGGTCCCTCTCCTTCCATGTACTGCGGCTTCCGGGAGAGAGCATCTGCTCTTACGTTTTCCTCTCCCGGCACGTATCGGATCTCGAAGGAAAACTTGGAGAACTCCTGTGCCCATCGAATCTGTCTCTGGTTGAGTACTCGTGCGGTCCTCCAGTATTCCAAGTTCTTGTGATCAGTACAAACCTGGATCTTGTGCTGCACCCCTATTAGCAGATGTCTCCATCGGCAAAATGCCGCATAGATCGCAAGCAGTTCGCGGTCATACACCGTATAGTTTTGCTCCGACTTGCTCAGCTTCCTCGAGAAAAAGGCACATGGCTTCCATTCCTGCTTGCTCCTCCCTGGCTGCAAAAGAACCGCCCCAATGGCTCTGTCGGACACGTTGGTCTCTAGCCTCATGAGTTTCTCCAGATCAACGTGTAGGAGCTGCTCTTCCGAAGCGAACGCCTTCTTCAGTCTTTCAAAGGATTGCTGAGCACTTTCTGTCCATGCGAACTTCCTTTTGCTACTGAGACAATCTGTGATGGGCGCCGTTAAGTGGGCGAAGTTCTTGATGAACTTCCTGTAGAAGTTGCTGAACCCTAGGAACCTCTGCACATCCTTCCGGGTTTTGGGGGCTTTCCATTCCAGCACTGCTTGCACCTTGCTTGGGTCCATAGCCAGTCCCTTGTCTGACAACTTGTACCCCAGAAACTCGACCTCTCTGGTGTGAAATTGGCATTTTTCCAGCTTGACCCACAACTGGTGCTTCTGCAGCCTCTTTAGCACTTCCCTGACGTCTCTGACATGTTGCTCCTCATTGTCTGAATAGATTAAGACGTCGTCCAAGAAGGCTACGCAGTTCTTGTACATCAGGGGCCCCAACACGTGGTGCATGAATGCTTGAAAGCAGGCGAAGCCCGATTGTAATCCAAATGGCATGACTAAGTACTCAAAAGCCCCCAGGGGGGTGAACATGGTGGTCTTCCATTCGTCCCCCTCCCTTACCCTGATCAAATTGTACGCTCACCTGAGGTCCAGTTTGATGAAAATTTTCCCCTGCCTCACCTGTGTTAAAATGTCGTCAATCCTGGGCATTGGGAAGGTCACGGGTTCAGATACCAGGTTTAGGGCCCTATAGTCCACAACCAGTCTGGGCTGATTAGTCCCTTCTTTGTCCACAAAGAACACCGGACTGCACAGCCACCCTGGCCACTGTCCTTCTTGGGGTCCCCCCCCAGACAGTGTTCCAAACAGTAATCTGACCCAAAGGTGACTGACCGCTGATGCCATGACACTACTGGATCATGCAGTGCCAGCCAGCTCATTCCCAGTATTATTGGGGGTCCTGCCAGTGTGGCCACGTGAAAGGCAATGGTCTCCGTGTGCCTGGAAACCCTCATTCGCATTGGCGGGGTCTGGTGTGTCACTTCCCCTGCCATCAATGGTGGTCACTTGCAAGGGAAAATCCAGGGGTAGCAAGTGTATTTGGTGCTCCAAAGCGAAGTCCCTGCTAAAGAAATTGCAGGAGCTGCCCGAATCCAGCAGCCCCTCAACACTGACTGGGTCCCATTCGGGAGTTCTAGCACCACTGCTATGGCTATCGCTGCCCTGGGGGGGTCAGGCTGGGGCACTTCTATTGGTTGCTGGCCTGGCTGCTGGCCCCTTTGGTTGGTAGTCAGGCGCTGTCGTTTCCCTGTTCCTGCCCTTCGTCCCCCTTCTCCTCACAGCCAGCAGCCCCCACCATCCCTTGCCAGGCCTTTCTTTGAGGGCAGACCCTTGCAAAATGTCCTGGCCGTTGGCAGACGAAACACTTCTTGGTGGTTTTCCAATCCTTCCCCTCCCTCTTGCGACCTTCACTGGAGTTTGAAACCTCTCTCTCGCACGCGCCATCTATTTCCATTGGCTCAGCCGCCTGGGAAAGCTGTCTTGGTATTTCAGGAATGCGGTAGTCATGGCAACATTCCCCTCTCACTTCGCGTTTCTCCTGAGCCCGCGCTCCCTGCCTCACTCCAATCGCAAGCACAGCCTTGGTCAGCTGATCCATCGACTGCGGGCGGGGCGCGTGGGACAGCTCGTCCTTCACCGTTGGGGACAACCCCTCCTCAAACAACATTTGAATAGGTTCAGAGTCCAGATCCCACCCGAGACGGTGGATCAACATCGCAAAGCGCGACCAGTAGTCTCTAACTGACTGGCTCCCCTGCTTGCACCCCATCAGTTCTCGCAGTCACACTTTGCTGGACTTCACTGGAATACATCGCATCCATCGCCTGAAAGAATTTCTTAAGGTCCTTCAAGGCATGATTTTGCGTCGCCATAAGGGGCCTAATCCAATCCCTTCCCCCATCCTCCAGATGCCCCACCACGTAGGCCACCCGATGCTCATCGTTAGCAAAGTCATCATGCTGCAGTTCCAAAGCATACTCTATTTCCGTTCGGAACACATTGTAGTCCTGGGGTTTCCCCCCAAACTTGTGTACCAGCCCCGGTACCTTCCTTGTGATGGGGGTGGGTCTGACCTGAGCATCCTGAGCTTGTCTTTCGTCCAGCCGCGCCGTCAGGAGAGCTACATGCTGTTCCAAATCTCGGTTTCTCTCTACCAGACCTTGCACTGCAGCTGCTTGCTCCGTTTCTCCAGCTCCCCCGGTCTGGCTCATGGTGCTGCCTCTCTGGAGCTACGCACAAGCAACGTCGGTGACTGACGGATTG